GACTCCCGACATCATGGCCTCCGTCCCCTCCCGTGCATGAACTGTCAGGATCGTTGCCTGTAACCTCTCACAAGCGGTAAATATTTCTTACTGACAGACTGTACACCTATCACAAAACTACCCCAGATGCGCTTTCCCCGGCCCCACGTATCTGGAGCTCATGTGAATTCTTTCAGAACAACTCACATCTTTCTTCCCCAAAACAGAATATATAAATGCACCATCAGCTCCAGGACAGTGGGCGTGTTTGTCTTTTCCTCCTGGCCCTGTTGCTGTGGTTTAGATTCCATCCAGGTCTCAACAAACCCTTTGTTTTAGAAAAGCTTGCCATGAAAGGTTCTTTTGTTTACAGGCCTAACATAGACACACACAGCCCTAACTGGTTTGGCTCAGTGAATAGAGCGTTGGCCTATGGACTGAAGGGTCCCACGTTTGATTCTAGTCAAAAGCACATACCTAGGTTGCAGGCTTGGTCCTACCCCCTTCTCACCCTGGTTGGGAGCATGCGAGAGGTATTAATGGATGTGTCTCTCTCACATGGATGTTTCTCGCTCTCCCCCTCTCTCTGTCTCTCTCTAAAAATCAGTGGAAATGCCGAAACCGGTTTGGCTCAATGGATAGAGCGTCGGCTTGGGGACTGAAGGGTCCCGGGTTCGATTCCGGTCAAGGGCATGTACCTTGGTTGCGGGCATATCCCCGGTAGGGGGTGTGCAAGAGGCAGCTGATCGATGACTCTCTCCCATCGATGTTTCTGACTCTCTGTCTCTCTCCTTTCCTCTCTGTACAAAATCAATAAAATATATTTTAAAAAATAAAAAATAAAAAAAATAAAATAAAAAAATAAAAATCAGTGGAAAAATATCCTGGGGTGAGGATTAACCACAAAATAAAATAAATAAAATATAAAATAAAATAAAATAAAATAATAATAAATACACACACACACACAAAAAAAATTAAATCCTTAATGAACAGTTATATTCAAGTCATTTTCATTTCCTTTATTTTATCCCATATCTAATTTTTTGCTCCTTTTCACAGGTGCTTTCCCTACCTTTACATTGGATGCCTTTGTCGTTTCCTATCCCTTTGTAGGATCAAACAGTCAATATATAAGCTCTCATAAGGCTGACACTATTGAATTTAATAATCTGCAGGGAGAAAAGAATCTAAAGGACATAACCCATAACCGTTTATGACACGCAAGAAATCTCATTCCATTTACCTTTGCCATAGCTACAAATGATATGATATTTCTGATATCATGGTTCATTTCATAATGCATGATCATCTCAAAGGAAGGTTTCTTTGGTAGGCAGGCATTGCAAGCTCCTCAGAGCAGCAACAGTTATTATTAATTAATATTTATTGAAGTTGTTTTTTTGTTTTGTTTTGTTTTGTTTGTACGTGCTATATGCTTAGTACTCATTTTGTTTTTATCACAACTGTGGGGCAAAGGAAAATGTCCCCCTTTTCCTTTTGGTTTTTCTGGCTGATCCAATAATCATATTGATATGAGACTGATTAATGGGACAAAATTACCGAATTTAATGACGTATGTCCACTCAGTGGTTCTGTGAGAATAGGGGACCCAAGAACAAATCAGGTGTTTGAGGCGTCTGTGCCATGATCAGCTAAGGAGAGAGGGGAGAGTGGTGGTCTAGACTACAAAGGGAAGGTCAGCATTCACAGGGGGATGAGAAGGAGCAAACATTTGATAACTACGGTCTTACTGGGCCACCCAGGAACAATGGGTGACAGCATGGAGGCCAGACTTGCTAGGTTCTGCCTCTTCCAGTTCATAGCAAACCACAGTTCTCGGTAATGGCATTCCCCTTCTTGGAGCAGCTCCTCTACCTAAACCTTGTAGGCAGGTTGAAGGGAGGTCACTGGGTCTTCCTGGCTCTTTTATTTCATTTTCTTAAAAACAACCAGCTCAAACACAACATTCCCCAAAGTCACATTTTTGAGATGGCAAACTCTCCTTTCCCTTGCAGCCATCACTGTCTTCATTTCATAATGAGCAGGGTGGAGAGGCAGGAGAAGGTAAGAGGGCCATGGCAGGGCTGGGATTTAAATCCAGCAGCTGGACTAACTCTGAATTGTGGTGAAGGAGGTTTCACCTTCTCTGAGTCATTCTTCAAAGTCATGGGACAAACAGCGGTAACAATGGCAGGAGGGTGCACTGTGTACCGATCAAAGAAGGATTTGGAAGGTGGCTTCTGAGTCAGTGTCCCAAGGAAAGGATTGTTTCCACTCGGCTGCATTTTGAGTTTCAGGACACAGAGCGCTTTCTATTCCAGCATTTCTGGCTCAGCCTGAAGGAGCAGCACAAACCCCAGTGCAAGAAAAAAAAACTTTTTTTCATATCATTCAATTTTTCAAAGTTATTTCAGTTTGGAGCTAAGGATTAGTTTAATCTAAGCTTAATCACCACAAAGTCTATAGCAAAAGAGATGGATAAAAAAATTTTAAAAATCATTCAATTATATTGGTTGATTGGCATATAGTTACCAAATATAATAGCTTAGTATTTGGAAGCAATGACTTTTTTTTTCATTTTTTTAGGTGATTTCATGCTTAGCTTCCCCTTTAATTCCTTATGTACCTAGTAAGTGTCACTTACTTTACCTCCATTATTCCTAGTTTTATAGTAACTCTGGGAGGCAGGTGGTGGTAGTAGTAGTTACAGTAGTCACAGTAGTAATATTACACTGATTAAAAACTATAGCGGAAAGGTAATTAAAATAATTAGGAGAACCGTGACTTTCTGCTTTAAAGGCAATGACAATGTGTGAGTTTGCATAGACAGTTCATGAAAGATATTGCAAATGATGGTATATGGAATGTAATGGCATGCTATCGTCCTATATATGGCATATTATCTATTACAAAAATGGTGGTCATACTACCTCCATTCTTTCCCAAATTATCTAAGACCATGCCACTTCTCCTTTAAGAGGTGAAAATGTAATTACCCTCCTCTTAAATCTGAGCATTCTTGTGCTCTGCTTGTAATGAAAATAATGTGGCAGAAGTAATGATGAACCAATATTGATACCTTATTATTAACTAAAATTTATAATTTACATAAGGGTTCACTCTTTGTATTTGTATAGTTCCGTAGGTTTGCATAATGCATGTATCCACTACCACAATATTTACAAAATAATTTAACTAGACTAAAAATGTCCAGTGCTTTATTTATTCATCCCTTCTACCTTCCCTGAACCCCTGGCAACTGCCCATCGTTTTGCTGTCTCCATACTGTTGCCTGTTTCAGAATGTCATGTAGTTGGAATCATTCAGTATGTGGCCTTTTCAGGTCAGCTCCTTTAATTCAGCAATATGCACTTAAGGTTCCTCCATGTCTTGATACATCATTTCTTCTTATCACCGAATAATAGATATTCCATTGTGTGTATATAGCGCAGTTTGTTTATCTTTTCACCTACTGATGGACATCTTGGTTGCTTCCAAAGTTTGGATATGATTAAAGTGGTATAATCATTTGTGTGCAAGGTTTTGTGTGGCTATAACTTTTCTGCTCATTTGGGTAACTATCTAGCAGTGTGATTGCTGAATTGTACAATGACACTTAAACTTTGTAAGAAACTGCCTGTCTTTACAAATGGCTGTACTATTTTACATTCCTGTGAGTGATATTTGTGCATACCTATTGCTCCTAAATGGGATGAATTTTAGCCATCCGGTGTGTAGCAGTATCAAATTGTTGTTTTAATTTGCAATTCCCTAATGACATAGGATGTTGCACATCTTGTCATATGCTTACTTACCACATTAATATCTCTGGTGAGGTGCCTGTTCAGATGTTTTGTTCTTTTTTATTTGTTTGTTTGTTTGTTTGTTTGTTAATCCTCATTGGAGGATATATTTTCCCCATTGATTTTTAGAGTGAATGGAAGGGAGAGAGGAAATAGTTCAAAATGATTACCAACTTAACTGTAAAATGGAACTATAACATTTCTAGGCAAAAGAAAAAAGAAGAAAAATTTTAGGATCTAAGGTTAGGTAAAGAGTCTGTATATGTGACACTGAAAACACAATAAATAAAATTAAAAAATTGAAAAACTGGGCCTCATTAAAATTTAATATACGTGCTCTGAGGAAGATTTTATTAAGAAGATAAAAAGACAAGCTATATACTGAAATAAAAATTTTGAAAACCACATATTTGACAAAACACTGGTATCTAGACTACATAAAGAATTCTCAAAACTCCACAATAAAAAGACAACAATGCAAAAATACAAAATAGCAATAATACCAAATGCTGGTAAAGCTATGGAGAATCTAGATCACTTGTATGCTTTTGTGAAAAAGTAAAATGATTCAGCTACTCTGGAGAAACAGTTTGACGTTTTCTTAGAAAACTGAACATGCAACTTATTTTTTTTTAAGTGAGAATTTTTTATTGCTGTTGCTATTTTTTCTTTACACTAATTCACAAAAATAGCAGAATGTCCAATTATTACAATCACTGATGCAATAAATCCATTCTCAATCTGTACCAACGTGATAAAATGTAAGAAATCTATTTTATAACTCTATATTTTCTTTAATATGTAATATATATCTCATTAAATGATTATAGTTTAGTATGCAGGCTCCTATCCCCTGATATTAAATTAAACCAGTACATTACACACAGAAGAAAATCGGGACAGAAGAACCAGTAACACCCCAATTGTCCTGTAAAATCATTTTATTTTCTGTTACATAAACATCTTTCTCAGGTAATGTTAACAGAACAACCTGTTATGGAGTTTTACAGTTTGGGGCAAATATATTTTTAAAAAACTTATCTCTATTATACAGAGTTGTGATATAAAAATGATTTATAGGCTATAGTTTTCAGAAAGCAGTTAGCTAGATAATCCTGCTGAAGAAACTTTCCTATTTAAATCTATAACATGGCATGAAAAGATATGATTTAAAAAATCTTCTGATCAAAAAGCTTGAAATCATCAAAGGAATGTTTACTGTCCTCTGCAGAGAGACACCAGGATTTTTTCATAGTCTCCTTTGGTATCATCCTGTTGATTAAAAATAGAGTATGACTTAATGCTACTGAAACCATAATCGATATAAAGTGTTTTTAAATAACAGAGCAATTATAATCTTAGTAGACTGAAGAGGAATAGACATACATCACAGTACATAAATTATCTAGGAGCTTCAATAAGAATATTATTTACCTAATTAATAATATACTTAATTCATATAGCAGATAACTGATATTTTTTAGTGGGTTATTATGTAAAAGCAATAACTGTCAAGATTCAGATTGTGAACTTCTCTGAATTGATTATGCTGTGTATTAGAGCTATTATTTTCCAAGAATAAGATGTCATGCAGAATTGAGTAAATACAACAGAACAATCATTTCAGTTCTTAAGGTATATCTGACTCTTTCACCAGAGAAAGTTATAAACTTGTGATTTTTCTCAGTAGATTACAGTTATTCATTATAAGTAAAAAATTGAATTTAGTCACCTATTTTTTAAAACCCTTGACTTGCCTTTACCTGTTAGCATTATATTTTATTTCTTAACATTATAATGAGAGCACATGAACATATTACATATGACAAAAATTAAAGAAAAGCTTAGAATAATAAGTCTCTAACCCTCTGATCAACATTCATTGCAAAATAAATCATTATATCTCCTTACTAGTAATATTTTGGTTGCTAATTTATGTATGAAAAACTAAATGTTCTATGAATGCTGAAAATTTTGAGTATTTTTTCCAGTACAGAACTTATTAGAAGAATTTACCAGCAAAAGTTAAATTTACTTATAAATTATATATCTTAATATAATGAATTAATCTTGCATATAAAATTTATAGATATAGTAAGTCAGACTTTTTCTTTCAAAAAGAATTATAATTTGTGGTGGTAGAATTATGAAAATCACTACATACCATGATGGCTTGGCAGAGAGGGACACCATACAACTTCTGATAGCATGCTTTGATGTCATTCATGTCGATTTCAGAACGGGAAACCATAATCCTGGTCAATATCTTATGACGTGTTCCAACACCCTGTCCAAAACAAGTGAAGGTTACTTGTTTATTATTACTCATAATATAGCAGGATATGGGTTTGAATACAAAGCTCTTTTGTTAACTCATATAGTTCTATAGAGGAACAATCTCTACATTAACACACACACACACACACACACACATATACACACACTGTCACATACACACACACTTTATACAAGTGCTAATAAAATGACAAGAACCCAGTTGCTACATCAGCAGTATTTTAAGAGCTTTTACAGCCTCCTAACTGGCCTTTCACCACCCAGTCTTTCCTTTATCTAAACTGTTCAATAATTACAAATACAGTGAACTATCTAAATTGCAAATCTGGTAATCTAATTGACCTACTTAAAAACCTTCAATGGTCTTTTTCTCGTAGGATAAAAAACCAAGCATTTTGTCTGGGCTTGCAATGCCCTGCCTAATTCTACAATCTCTTCTTCCACATGCACCATCACTCTAACTGGATTTATTATCTTGAAAGGGTAATGTTTACCTCCTCCTCTTGGGCCAACCTTACTGTATCTCCCCATCTCTGCCACCCCTGTTCACATCTGGCTATTCCTTTTCACTATCAGGGTCTTAGTTTAGCTGAGAACAAGGCTACACTGACATCCAAAGTCTAGGGCTAGAGGACACTCGTCTCTTCTACAACAGCATTGCCCATTGGATTAGCCCACTAAACAGAGTGGCCGTGGGCTCAGAGACTGTACTGCCTAGTACATAATGGCACAATGCCTATTGTTTCATAAGGACGCTTTCCCATTAATTGAATGGTTACACCCCCCCACCCCCTCATTCTTGACTTCCTTCTTTTGGAAATGTGAAAGGAAAAAAAAAGACAACTTCATAACTTTCACAGTATAACTATACAGGTGGCATCCTATATAATATGATGCGAGCCAGAGAATAGAGTTAAAGTGGCTGAAGTGCATCTCAATACATCTTAATAATGCCTTCTACTTCTGTAATCTTAGCACATCTTAAAAGCTTAGGATGACATATTAACCCATGGCATGGAAGACAGACCAATAAAAAACAAATTAAACTTAGAAAAGGAGAGGTTGTAAAACTCACAACCTTAGCAGATGTAGGTTACTAAAATCACACATTAAAAGTGAAATTATATCATCCTCCCCTATGCTGACTTTGCTTTTATGCAAAGCATGAGTAACTCACAAATTACCTACAAGCTCACCTTACCATTTTACCATTAAAAAAAATACCACAAATCTAACCATTTTATTCTAATAAGGAAGTGTATTACCTCTTGCATTGGATGGAACCATGATTCTTTTAAATGGGAAAATATTAAAATATTTGGGGTTTGTATGCCCTAAAGCATCGGCCTATGGAATAAAGGGTTTGATTCCAGTCTATGGCACATGCCCAGGTTTCAGGCTCAATCCCCAGTAGGGGGTGTGCAGGAGACAGCCAATCAATAATTCTCTTTCATTACTGGTATTTCTATTTCTCCACCCCACCTCTTCCTTCCTCTCTGAAATCAATGAAAATATATTTACAAAAATGTGTGGTTTTCAAACAATTAGAGGTTTGGTGTTCTCTCCACTAACAATAATGTCCCTCCTAAGCAAATCATATAAGTAGAATCATACCTTCATGGCCTGATGAAGCTTCTCAGCAAAGTACATTGGTTTGTTTGTGGCACACTTCACTGCAAGAGAGGCACATTTTAGTTGACATATTTATATACCCCAAAAGAAGAAAGACACATATGAAAGAAATAGGAGATACTGGGTTTTGCAACAAGTGAGATTCTATTCACTCCTATTTCTCACCTGGCTTCTCAATATGGGATACTTGGTTTATGAGAAGCTAGTCTCTAGATGTTGGTTTTCAATAGTCTTTCCTCATAACACCATCACCTCTCTCCTATTATCTTAAAAACAAACAATAGCAGCTTCGTGCTATTCTGAGCATACTCTTCTTAGATATGTGGAAACCAGTTGGTGTTAAAAGCCATATTGGCATACAATACATACTTTTTTCATGATATAACAAGGAAAAAGTGGAAAAGACTGACTGTAAAAGGCAGCTGCCAAGTAAAACAATAACAGATGGTCAGTTATAAGATGATCTAGTTTGCTACTCAAAGTGTTACCCTTGGACCAAAAGAATTGGTATCACCTGGGAGTTTGTTAGAAATGCAGAATCCCAGGCCCCACGCCAGACCTAGTAAGACGGGAATCTGTGTTTTGAGAAAATTTCCAGGGGATTCCTGTGCACATTAATGTTTGAGAAGCTGCTTTAGAGCACAGGCTCTCAGCCCTACCTGGTCAGCTGAAGAACATGAGAGAACTTCAATGTCCTTTTCTTTTAAAGACCTTGTCAGAAGTTACCAGAGAACTACTGAATCAAAACTTCTGAGCTTGCCTAGGATTATTCAGTTGGCAAGTTGACAGACCAGGATTTGAACCTGTTAACTAATTGCAAATTCCACCTTAATAACCATTCTGACTTTCCTCTGTGCTACGTCCAGTCTGCTGCATCTTGTGGCATAAGTTGGGGCACAGTAATATTTTCCACCTGCATATCTGTTTTTTTCTAAAGGGAATGATATCTGTTATTATTAAGAAGGCCATTGTATACATTTAGCTAACTGCATTCCCATTAGCTTACATGTTGCCTCTCTCTGAAGCTTAGATGAACTATATCTGAGTTATTTCACTTTTGGTTTTGCTCTGTTTTGTTTTATTTTTTAATTATGGGACAGCAATGATAACGCAATTTTCACTTAGAAAATTCTTCTCCATCCAGGACTACGTACCGATAGTGGTGAAGCATTTCTCGATGTCACCTTTCATCTCCAGGTCCAGGACTTTGGTCATGTCATGCTTACTGTACTTGGTGTACTTCTGAAACACTGAATATGACATTTAAACTAAGAGTTGTAGAAAGCATCCCATTCTTTAGCAAACTTTAGCAAAATCGGGGCAATTGACTCAAAGCACTCCTTGTGATGACTGTACTTCACAACAATTTTAAAGCTAATTACTGAATTGAGTATATTTTGGATACTTCATCTTGCCCTAGGAATGTAAGTCACATGGCTGTTTTGGTGTTCTTGTATATTTGGGGGAAATTTTTGCAAGTGTTGACATTTATTAAAAATGGCATGTGATTGACAATCATAACATTTGCTACATCAGAGCTAAGTGCCATAGCAAATAGATCTTCCTTATATAAAAATCTGTATAGTAAGTTTCACTTAATTTTGGCATTAGAAATCAGTGTGCTATCCTAACAAAAGACTAATATGCAAATTGACAACCACTCCTACACACAAGATGGCTGCCCCCATGTGGACACAAGATGGCCACCATAAGATGGCCAGCAGAAGAGGACAGTTGGGAGGTACCAGACCTGCAAGGATGGGCAGTTGGGGGTGATCAAGCCTATAGGGGAGGGCATTTAGGGGTAACCAGGTCTGCATTGAAGGGCAATTAGGGGTAATCAGGCTGGCAAGGGAGTAGTTAGGTATCAATCATGCTGGCAGGGGAGTGGTTAAGGGGTGATCAGGATGGTAGTCAGAAGTGGTTAGGGGCAATCAGGAAGGCAGGTAGATGAACAGTTGGAGCCAGCAGTCCTGAATTGTGAGAGGGATATCCGACTGCCCTACTGGAATTGGGCCTAATTGGGTAGTCAGATATCCCTTGAGGCATCCCAGATTGGAGAGGGTACAGGCTGGGCCAAGGGAGACATACCCCTGTGCATGAATTTTGTGCACCAGGCCTCTAGCTATTAGGTACTAAACTTTAGGTAATTATTATGATGTTCTATTTGCTGTGGCTTCCAGTTGGCTCAGCTAAATCTGTGCTCAAAAGGGCACAGAAAAACTCCTTTTGGTTTTTGTTTCTGGAGCATCTACATGCACTTTTATTTTTTTAATTCAGTTCTGAGTTTTTTGTTTTTCTTTATTATAATTTCATGTGTTCTATTGTATGTATATACTTTGTCACAGCTGCTCCAGATATTTTGGGGGAATAGAAATAGTGAAAATAAAGAAATAATTCTCTAATGCCAAAGTCACAAAAGGTGTTTCAAATACTATAAAATGTTCCCTATACAAAGTTGAATGCACAAAGATCAATAAAGGGCCAGAAGCCCTATACAATATTCATTGGGTGTATTGAGTGAAGCTGCTGATTAAGACTTTTTGTTTTCCTTTCTCTTATTTGTCCAAAAAAAAAAATTGTGTCTTCTATAAACGGGTTTTTTCTTCTTACCTCTGCGAAGGTGGGGATAGCTCCTGCCGGTAAGAATGGTAGTGAACACATTCACATCTGTCCCTTTTCTCTTTTCTCCTGCTTCATATAATGCCTGTCAAGAAACACAAAAATAGACGCTTGACCATCTGCTGACTTAATATCTGCACTAGAATGCTAATATTTTCTAGGCATCTGCTTTGTATCCAAAAGGATCAGAATACACGTTGCTAAGATTGAGAGTATCTTCAACAGTATCTCTCAAGGTGCCTTGCAAATATTAGAGACTGAATATATGTTTGAAGAAGAAACGTTTGATGAATTAAATTGCTTTGACATTACATTCTATATTAAGATAACTCTAAGAACCTCTCTAATTTTCATTTACTTTTAATTGTTCAAAGTAATTATCAGCAAATGGTATTAAAAAATCAACAATTCAACCATAAATAACCTAGGTCTTGAATTTTGATGTTAGAATTTCTAAATTCAAATTTTGACTCCGTAACTTAATAATTCTGTAATCTTAGGAAAATAATTTAGCCTTATTAAAGTATAGGTTTTCCTCTTTTGTAAATGAAAAAGATAATCCCCCTTATTATCACACATTGTTCTGTTAACTTTAAAAACTTAATTGCCATCATTCTCTTTGAACATACTAATCCAAGAAGCTGCTATAAATATACATCTTAGAGTTCTGATAGTCTTAAAATAGAAAGCAAATTTAAAAATGTCATAAGCATGCCGAAACCGGTTTGGCTCAGTGGATAGAGCTTCAGCCTGCGGACTGAAAGGTCCTGGGTTCGATTCCGGTCAAGGGCATGTACCTTCGTTGCAGGCACATCCCCAGTAGGGGGTGTGCAAAAGGCAACTGCTCAATGATTCTCTCTCATCAATGTTTCTAACTCTATCCCTCTCTCTTCCTCTCTGTAAAAAATCAATAAAATATATTTTTAAAAATGTCATAAGCAAATAAGAATATTTTTTTTAGTATAGATAATTATTCAAATACTAACTTCAGTTCTTTAGTTTACTTACACAATTTTTATTAAAATGGTCATACTTCCAATGGACATGTTATTTTGGACTTTTCAGGAAAACTGATTTGTTAGTATGCATTTATTCTTCAAAAAGTTAATGAATGCCTATTGTGTGCAAGATAATGTACTGTTACTGTGAAGCGAGTGGGGGTGGAGAAATATCTCTCAATTCTGTCTCACTGTAATGAATTTATAGAGATAATGCTATCCCAAGAGGAAGGCGTATGCAAATAATAGTTTTATTTTTTTAACAGAAATTCCAAACCCTAAAATGGTTCCACTTTCTAATGTTGCCAACGGACTGGCATATTAATAACCAGCAACCTCACTGAAATGATCTATACAATATATTTGAAAGTATGTAAATATGTTATTATAATTGTTTTACAATTATAATATCATTACTATAATATTTTTACAATGTAAGCTTGTATCTACAAGCCATTCCAAGTTCATTGTTAAAAGAATGTTAGATGTGCTTACTCTTTCCGCTTCACTTAATAAAAAATTATGCCTGATAAAAGAAAAATCAGAGTTTTCTTAATACAACAATTCTGTGGAACAACCAATCAAATTCTCATTGTTCCCTTTCAACCCTTTCCTACTTTATGAATAATGAGATCTATTGAAATCATCAAGACTGCATTTCTTTTTCTTGGATTGCTCAAGTACAGAACAGTGCCCATGATTCAGGGAATGAACCCTAGGTGCCCGTGGCCTCTTGAGGCTTGCTTTCATGTGGCGGTCATCGGTGTGACCTCACTTAAGGCAGGAACCATTTGAGGTAGGAAGTATTCTTACCCTGGCATCTGAATCAGCCATGTCCTCATTTAAGGAAAAGTCCTCAGCCCGGTCACCCTGAAAAAAAAAAAGTTCCATTCTCTTGGTAAGTTGTTTATTAGCATGGAATCACATGATTTATTTAATTCCCTTAAAATCAAATAAATAATATTCTTTGAGAAAAAAGAGAGTCAATTGCTCATCTTTAGAGTGCGATAAAATCTAAAATTTTACACTTCATAAAAGAAGAGGCCTTCCCTGAACCGCGTGAATTATACCTTAGCCAGAGTGAGCAGAGCCGTCCGGTAATCTCCAGAGGTGTCTGAGGTGATGTCTTTAGCCAGGTCTCTCTTCAATTCTGAAAAATAAGAGATATTTTTTACAGTAAATTAATGATAAATAATGGTGATGTTTATAATACCAGACATCTCTATATTGGCTTAAAAATGTCAATGCCAAATGTTCAATGACTTATGGAATGTATTCAAAATATAGTTTTTAAAAAATAAAAAATAGGGATATTGAACCAAGTAAAACTCTGGATCATCAAATTTATATCCTCTAAGGCAATGAAAGCAATTTAGACAATACTGTGAATGAAAACCTTCAGTCACAGAGCTTTTGCTAATATGAATTGCATAGGTATTAAATAGTTATTTCTGAAATAAACATGCCAGAATTTTAGCAATGTGATGGACTAGAACAATTATTAAAAAGAATAAACCAGATGTGCTTGCTGGAACACAGATTATTCATTTATTTTAATTATAGGCATATATAATATAGTTTAGCAATATATGTATATAGACTTAAAATTTTTATTTTAGAAACACCCTTGTTTAACTATGCAAAATAATGCTGTATTAGGAACAAATTAACTGAATTTATAATTAACCAGCAGATAGAACAATTTAATAAGCTATCACTAGACTATATCTTGGGTATAATGGGAAAATATGGCTATTTCCCTTTGTAAACTATGTTTTATTTAAAAAAAAAAAGCCAACTAAAAACAATGCCCCTTTTGATTATTATTACTTATAAATGAATTAAGATCAATATTGATAATGAGATAAATGCTGAAAATGAGGTTGAAATATCTCTTATTCTGATCCTTTTATTAAATTGCTCCAAAAACAAATGCAAGGGCCATTCTATTCTCTGTGCTTGGGATGAAAAGTCCAGATGCTGCATATTGGTTTGGGAAACTAGATAAGGAAAATAGGAAGGACCCAGTATTGCTCAGCTACCACCTTTTCAGTGTTGAGCATATTATCTAAATGAGCTGTTTCACTGAATAGAATAAATGAGCAATGGCTTTTCAAAGTGCAAACATTGTCTCACTTCAGCACCCCAACAAATTGAATGCTATCCAGTAACAGTGTGTGATTACAGTAGACATGTGAAAACAATAAAAATAAATTTAGTATGTAGAGTTTCAAAGTCCCCTTAATTAACACCCACACTCAATTTTAAGAAAAGCACATCGCATTTCCTTTTCCAACTAAGGCACTTGGACTATTGGACATTAAAACTTACCTTCCCTATAGACTCTGTTAATTTCTCTGATTTCTCTGTTAGTTCTTGATGCCAAAATTTCATTCAGGGTGTCTTCATCAGTTCCAAGGCCCTGAATTAAAAGGAAGAGGAAAATCTTCACTTGAGAGCATCAACTAGTTTTTGTGTCCTGAAATCTGTTTGAATCTGGCATTTAGTACATTTCCCACAATGTGTAGTAATTACAATTAGTTATATCTGGTATACTGCTCTAGAAACAAAATGGCTTTTGAACCAATATTTTGGACAAAGATATCAAAGGTGAGATATATGATTGATATAGTGACATGATGAGCTTGGGAATAACACAGCGATGAATGACAATCTTAATTAATTGATCATTTTATTCCCTTCATTGATAGGCCCTATACTAGATGTTGAAGACACAATAAGAGGCCTAAGTGGATTTGACCTACACATTCTTTTCAGGAAAGAAGTTTTTCCTAAATCAGGCATTCACCTTCATGGCAGCCCGAAGTTCTTCCGCATCATACTGGGCTGGAGTTTTCAGTAGAGCCAAAGCAACTTCCTCAAGGTGACCTCTCAGGGCCTTCCGCAGAACTTCATCCAAGGGCTACAAGAAAGAGATAGAATCAGGGCTTCCAATAAGTAACAGTGCTAGATTATACAGCAATGTAGGGTTACCTGACCTTTAGGTAATTTTATTGTTGATTCCTAAACTCAACCATACTTAGAGCTTCTCCCTTTGCATACAAAAGGCACCAGATTTTTAGAATGTTATCTTAACATTTTAGAGTGATTAGAATGAAATTTTACTAAGTTTGTTGATAAATTATTTTTTAATATTTTTCATTTTTCTATTTCTTACCTGTGAAGCTATTTTTTATTGAATTTATTGTGGTGATATTGGTTAATAAAATTACATATGTTTCTTGTGTACAATTCTATAATATATCATCTGTCTATTGGAATGTGGTATGTTCACCACCCCAAATCAAGTTTCCTTCCATCACAATTTATCCTCCCTATAGGACAGGGTTCTCCATCTTTTATACAGGGAAGAAACCACAAAGCTCAAAGCGTAGGGTTGTGTATTAACAGAAACTGTAGTAAGAATTCTTAAAAAAATATATAATGTATTAACAATTTTTCCAAACTATGAGGTTTGCACTGCTCAAAGAAACACTATAATCGGACACTGACATGTAGTTTCCTAAGTGCATTCCTTAAGAAACACTGCCCTTGTTTGGTGTGAACAATACAAAGTTTACTTTTAAAGTGGTGTGGGCAAAAAAAAAAAAAAAAAAAAAAAAAAAGGTGGGGGGGAACATACTAAACCTGACAAGCTCAGGAGAGGCCTGCATGGAGAGCTTTACAAACCCAGAGACAGTAACTAACCCAATAGGGTAGTATGAACATAGGTTTCCTCACTGAATGAAAACCGGTTGTGGCAGGTAGTCAGGTACTAGACCCGTAGCTTCCTTGACAAAGGTCAATCTTGACCTGCAGTGAGCCAGTAAAATGTTTTTTTGCATCTAAAATGTCAGAGTGATTACCTTTTCCAGACCCCTCAGGGCACCCCCACCCCCACCAGAGCACTAGATCACAGAACCCTCATTGTTATCTTCCTCACAAACTATCGCTAGGTGCAGTAACTGTTCATTAACTATCCTGCACCCACCTTAAACAAGAATGTGTCTCTCCATTTTACTTTTCATCCAAACCCAGAGAATTCCCTGTTTTTGCTTTATCCTGCCCCCTTAATCTAAAAATAATGAAATTCATGTATCCCTCCTTATGTCTCCTCCTTTGATTCTAATGTATATAATAAGCTGTAAAACTTCACATCCTACTTCCTGGCAATTGTCATTAGTTTGGCTTAACTAAACTCATGAAAATTCTCTACAGGTTTAGATGTTTCTTACATTAACAAGTAGAATTATATGTATAAACTTTACACGTAGGCCTTAACTCAGTTTAAATTTTAGCAGAAGACACATTTCAACCAGAACCTATTCCTTATTGCCCATAGAAATTTTGATGTTTGCTATGTTGAAATTAAAGACCTGCCCCCAATGCAGAACACATCTGCAAAGAACCTACACCACTAGGACAAAAGTATGAAATCAATAAATTTGCCGGAATTGATTTGATTGCAATCGAGTGGATAAATACTGCAATCCCAGCCATAGTAGTTGTAATAGGAACTAGGTAACTGTGTGTTCAAAACCCATGTTTAGTACAAATGCAACTGAAACGAAATGTCTAAATTTACCACTCCAACCCACCTTTCCTTTCTCCTGGAGGTAAGCTGCTTTGATTTGTTGGCGCTGGGCATTGGTTCTCTTAGTTAGAATGTCAATGATGGTTGCTTCATCCACACCTGAAAATAAAGGGTGGCTTGCCTTTTAAAATCAATTTTGTTCCTCATTAACAACTGATTAAATGATTCATTATCAAAGGTGCTCCAAATGAAGTTCTTAACAAACTAAGAAAACGGGATCATATAGATGCAACTACTTTCCTCAAAGGGAAGCTTTCTCAGTTGCATGAGAAAGGAAAAGGACATTAGCCCTGACCCTCCCTGTTACAGGGTTTCAGACCCTCCGTGTGAGCTTAGTGTTGGTTTCAATGTTGAGTTTATGCTAGACATGAGCCGGTAAGGATATCTGTAATGGCAGTAGAGATTCTCCAGATTTAACCATTTGTTTTAAGTGATAAGAAAGGAAGTATAGCTTGATTGGATAAAGAAGTCTTATCTTTAAAATGAACAGACTTTTTCCAATGCATATATCTGCTTTTCACCAGCCATTGAGACAGCCATTCTGAGGTGTGCAGGAGGGGACTGTTCAGGAAGACTTCCTTACCTTTAACTGTTAGTGCTTTATCCAAGGCAGCAACATCTGAGGATGGATTGAAGCCGGGAAAGGGGTACACTGCTGACCCAGGACCACCTTTGGATGTTTTAACAGTTTGCTGTGGATGAGAGAGAGAAAATTAATATCCGTTCACTCCTATTTGTTTCCTTTTTAATGTTTAATTAAGTTATGTTATTGTCACATGACTTACGAGGTATTCCTGCTCTTGATTATCAATGAACCAGGCCTGCTTGAGGAACTCTGATACCATTGCCATTTTTATAGAAGTTTCTGAAAAGAAAAACAGATAGATGCTTTTACAATCCACAAATTTACCACACATATACATCACTCCATTCCCCTACATACACAACACATATTAGAGTAGCCTTGACTTGACTTACCAGGATATTACTCTTAGAAGCATAATTAAAGTTCTAGGTGTAAGTTTTTAAAAGGAGAATCTTACCCTTGAATAGGCACCCATCATCTCCAATCAGAAATTTGCCTCTTTCTTGGCTTATTCAGTCCCTGCCTTTTAGGAATCAGAGGACTACTGTAAACAACATATAGACTGAAGAGTGGAGCTGGTGATTAACTTCATTGCTCTAAACTTACAGACCAGCCCTAGCTGGTTTGGCTCAGTGGATAGAGTGTCGGCCTACAGACTGAAGGGTTTCAGGTTCGATTCCGGCCAAGGGCACATGCCCATGTTGTGGACTCGATCACCAGTAGGGGGTATGCAGGAGGCAGCTGATCAATGATTCTCTCTCATCATTGATGTTTCTATCTCTCTATCCCTCTCCCTCCCTCTCTAAAATCAATAAAGAAATATATATATATTTAAAAAAAAATAAACTTACAGACTAATAACTATTTGCCAAGCTCTGGGGGGTTACAAAAAAAAACACATCAAAACATCATAGCTTGCCTCAATGAACTTAAAGTTCCTATTGCTCTCGGTGGGAAAAACACAAAAGCTAAAGAAACTTTTTAGAAGATGTGTTGGCTGACCTGAGCCTCTCTTGAAATGCGCTGAGATTCACCTGGCAGAAAAGTGAAAGAGAACGAAACAGAGAGATACTTGTCCTATTTGGGGAGTTATAAGAAGTTCACTGGAACTAGAAAGGTTGACAAAGAAGTTTAAATGCATCCCTAAAGCTTTTTTTTTGAGGGGGGGGGGATTTTTTTTTTTTTTAAGAAAGCAATATGATTCTATTTATATGTCGAAAAGATTACTCATCCTCTATCAGAGAGAATGTCTAAGAGATGGGCAAGATAGAAGATTAGAGCCCATTTAGTAGACCATTGGCCAACTTTTGTAGGATCCCAGAGAGCCTGAACAAAAAGAGCATAATATGTACAGTTATAAGGTCAATAAATCTGTGGCAATCTGAAGGAGTTGATTGAAACTTAAAACTCTGTCCATAGAAGGCTATTCAGGTCCTATTTCTCTCCCCCGAATGATTTGGCATTGCTTTCCTATTCCTTGGTATAAAATTATTTTAGCACTTGGAGTGCTCCTATTATTATTATTATTATTTTTCTTTTTGAGCTGTTCAAATGTTAGGCCTACATGTTTTTTCACCCAACACGAACAACTGGGAAGTGGGTTATTTTATACCAAGTGCTTTGCTCTAACAGGAGAGTGAAATTGCAACATGGCTAAAAACTCTATCTTAAAGGAAATTTCTGGAATTACTATCATGTTTCACAGTGTTTTTTTTTTTGTAATCAACCATGAATATTTTGGAAACCTGAAGTGTGTGAACGACTGATATATTTTCCGTGTTACCCACAAAAGAAGCCCCAGTGATACTTTCTGTCTGGGCTTCTGTTTTTAGGAGCCTATGCTCCAGGTCTATGCTGATATCTCTCCACTCCCTCTGTTGATCCCTCAGGAGACTACGCCCTTGAATATTTGTCAGGGAGACTGGGAGGATAATCTATGCCATTATAAATTCTTCACTTGACGCTAAGTGATTCATGAGTGAAACCGTAACCCGATTCCTAAACAGCATGTTCAGACAGTATTTCAATCCACGCCTGCAAGAAAAGAACTGCAGTTCCAGGTAATGAGATTAAATGCATGAGGGAAATAATCTCCAAAGCAGAAACTATCTCCCCTTAATTATTATGGGATTGTTCAAATTACTATTCGGTGGTCTGGCAGGAGGAACTATATGTTGTGCTATTACTTAATCTCTCTCTCCACTCCCCTGAATGGAATTGTTTCCTAAGGTAAAGTCATGTTGTACAATATTTTGCACAAGGGTTTAATTTCTATTACATAATCTGGTGCCGTTGCTGTTAGCATTTACAGAATATCCTTTTCCTATCCTTTCACTGGAACATCAAAAACACCTAGCAACTTGTGGCAAGGTTTCAGGTATTTGAAATTTCCATTTTTATCATCTTACCCAAGACTTTCATAAAGTAGAATCCTCAACATGTGTGCTGTGATCACTCACGAATCCTCCAAAGAAAGTACTTTTCCACAGTAATAGAAACATATGTTTGACTATTTCTACTCTTTTCAATTAGAAAATAAAAACTTCAGAAGAGATTAAAAAAATTAAGGATATTGTCAAATAAAATTTTTAAAATGAGATTCATGCTAGAAAATGAATTTTATGAGAACTTTCCCCTACTTCACTCATTTTGTCACTTTAAAATGATGCTTACATAACCCATCACTTTCTTAAAATATAAACTTGGGAAAGTATAAGAAAATGGTATTGCTCTATTAATTAGATAAAACAAAATGAAAAAGGGGTTGAATGAGTTCTTTGACATAACAGTGTCCACAGAGGAAACAGCTTTAGAACATATCTTGAGTTCCTAGACTTCAGTGTGGAATGATTTGGGGCCTCACAGAGAAAAGCAGTCTAAGTAGGACCCATCTCATGCAAGCAATTGGAGAAGAATGAGATCTCAACTAAGCCAAATGAGACCCACTAGCTCCGAACAAAGCTTAAAGAAACAAGGATTTGGATAAGACATCAGGAATTGCTCTAAAAGAATTTTAGGAATCACCATGTACAACTAATTAAGTACCTAAAGTCAACTGCATGTTTAAACATAAATGCATAATAATGGCCCACCTTACAAATTCCACAGCAAAAAACATTTTGGCCAAAAACTTTAGCCCAGACCATTCTGTCTGTTCAGGCATTAACATCATCTTTGAAGATGAAGTTGGCCATTTATACTTAGGCTGACCTACATGGAAATGAACAATATTCCATAATTTATCTGGTTAGTGATCATACATTAACCTACCAATCTCATTTATCTGTGCATAAATGTGCGTAACTTTCTAGAGATCAGCATTTTTTGTATATTCATGTGTCCAAAGAGAGCTCTCTTCATTTCATTCAGCAAGGAATTAAAGAAGGTAAGTATGTGCAAAAAGTATGCCTATGGTGTTAGAGGGATCTATGTTTACTAAATGTAAGAAAAAGGTATTCCAGAAATGGTATATTAGCAACTGCACCCACTAGACAGTTTGAGAACACTAGGCCTATTGGATTAAAGTTAATTGACTGATTTTTTTTAAATAAATTGCACTATGGTTGTATCCTTATTTTTTAAATTTATCCAGGCAGAAGTTTTTGGAAGCAGAGGGATATCACATCTGCAGTGTTCTCTCAAAGGTTACAGGAAAAAAAAAAAATATCTACAGAGGGCAGAAGGAGGAAGGGAAAGGATTAATGACAAAGCAAATGTGGTGAACTATTAACAGCTGGGTTGTATTTCACAAATCCTTTTCACATCTACCCTTGTGAGAGAACTAATTAGACCGAACAATAGCATGGCTTAAGAAGAACCACTTTATGAAAAGTAGCCTCACAAATGTTTTGCTTCCAGGCTTTGGAGTTGGGTGTTCCCTTCGCTTGGAATGCTGTTTTCTCTTCCCCGCCCACAGCCCTTTGTCTCACTTCTAAGTCAGAAGTCACATAGACCTCCCAGCACCCTCCGAAAAGCCTTTATCAGTTCTGAGCCCTCCCCAAACATCCTGCTTTACCCTAGGGGAGCCGCTACCATTCCGTATTGTATTATCACCTACTTATGTATTTTTTGACTGCAGCATTACCTGAAGGCAGTGATAATCTACTATTGATTCAATTCCTCCAATCTGGGCCAAAATGCCTGGTACTGTATTTAGTATGTTAATAAGCATTATTGAGTGAATAAACAGTGTATGAGTGTTAATAATTTAGGAAACATATCTGTGCTAATTTAACAACTGTTTCTACCATAGTTATAGAATATAAAAATGAGAATAGAGGAATTCTAAGCCCTTTAGATTTTGATTCCCTTTAGCTGATTGTAAGACTTCAGGAAAACATTTAAGGTCTCTAGGGGTCTTCAATTGTAAAAATAGGAGTGTTGGAATAAATAATATCTAAAAATGCATGATAGCACTGACGTGCCAAACTTAAACTTTACCTCAAGAGGATGGAAGTGGAAAAAAAATAGCTTAATGAAGATATTAAATAAATTGTGTCTTTTCTGGTCTTTCTGATAAAAATTGATCCCATTTTAAAGAAAGATGAATTTGTTTACTTCAAAAACTGTTTTTGATTTATCACTGGAAAAGAATAGGGCCATTGCTTTAGCTGATTTGTAAAATAAGCCATAAATTAATGGGTCTAGAGAGGATTAAGAGCAATCAGCTCAGCCAGCTTATGTCATCTACAACCTTTGCAGATCTTTGAGTAAAAAAGTATTTAATAAGCATGAGACTCTATCTGGTTCCTTAATAATGTTATGATTGACTCTTTTGATAACATCAGTCAACTGTGAGGAGCTGCCAGATGTGGTTAGTACCCGGGGCTAGGGTGTTGACCAACTTCTAGAGAAGAGGCCACTTTAGAATGATGAAACTAGCATTTCACTGCACATGAATCATTTTGCAATGGGCCTTCTCTTCCAGCCACCAAAAATACATTTGTGCAGGCAGAGGGGAATATTTCTTTTTGCAAAGTCCATATATAATTTCAGACATAAACAAGTCAAGAAAAAAAATCAAAACACCTTTCTTAATGAGCTAGCATTAAAAAGTAGATTTGGGCCATTTAATTTAACACTCAAAATGGGCTAAGAGAAAAATTCTTGAAGGAACATTTGTAATGAACAGTGGCCAGATATATATGGTCATGATTAAAAATCTGTTCCTTTTGAAAATGTGTCCAACACCAGTAAACTGCTTTAGATTTGGGTTGTGCTTTTGTAAGGAGTGGTTTGGCCATTAGCTCATTCAACAATCAAGAT